TTTCTGGTTACAAAGAACACATAGGGTGGATTAAGTGATGGACCCCCTCTTCTAAGAAAGAGCATTATAATCATGTCTTGCGATTTTCTGTTATTCTCTTCCTATCATTCATTTACTGCCCTTCTGTAACAAAACAATAAGCATTATTTGAAAAAATAACATGTATCACTTCTAGCATAGAAAAGGAAAATAAGTTTTTATCTTTAAGTACTTTGAGTTTCAATTCAGAAGCTACAAAGTAGACACAAATCACCAACGGAATCATTTCAGATACTCATTAAGTATATATATATATTTCCCCCCTGAGTGGTTTCTTTATATATACCAAGCAGTAGGGATACAAAAATGGAGACACAGCCCCAAGACACCTCTGCCACGCTAAGTAATGCTAGGTCAGCCTGACTTTGAGAATCAGGCACTCTAGGGGAGAATACATTGGTGACCCCTTACACCAATCAGTTGCATCTTAATGAATGAATGAACCAATGAAATGGGCTTGCTTGTCTGTCACTGCCATTAGCCAAGGCCCAGAATGGCAACTGCAAATTTAAGGCTAAACTCACCGTTTCCTCCACAGGAGGTTCATCTAAATTTAGAGGGATTTTTGACTCAATGTCCTCCCATCCGGGAAGGTGGTTAGATGCTGGGGCATCAGTAACGATGCTACCATTCTGTACCTTGATGCCATTCACTCCGTGACAGGAGGCAGGAATGTGGTGAAAGAAGAGGCTCTTCTGTGGCATGGGCAGAAACCAGGCCACAGCGAAAGCAACAGAAACGCAGGTGAGGGAGATGACGTTCAGGCTGAACAGTGACCAGCCTGCCACTGAGACGAGGATTTGCCCCAGGACCGAGCCCACTGTGAAGCCCACCAAGGTGGCACTTCTACAGTAACTTGTGACTTTCTGGTACATGCCGAGGTCGACCACACTGTAGATGTAGGAGTAATAGGCAATTTCAGTGGCTGTGGCGATGCCATAGAAGAATTCCAAGAACTGAATGGCCAGCAGTCCTTGGGCATAGAGCAGCATGAACCATGTAACAATAAGGCTGAGTCCCTGAAGCAGGATGACAGGCTTGTAACGGAGGTAGTCTGTGGCAAGGAACACAGGGAATAGCAGCACCAGGTAAGAGTAGGTCCAGACTGGGTAAATTTCATTGAAGACCTGGTAAGGAGAGAACAGAAGCTCATCAGTGATCGAAAGACCCAACAAGCCACAAAAATTCCCTCTTACAAACCCACCTACCAACATTCCCTTAGCAACCCAAGAAACACTGGCTGCAGTAAGTTCAGATAACTATCTGAAGAGCCTTTCCTAGCCCCACCCATTATTCTGTCTTAATAAAATCCTTTCCATCAGGAGTCTTACTATGCAGCCCAGGCTAGACTCAAATGCACTATGGAGATCAAACTGAACTTTAGATCCTCCCAGCTGCTGAGGTGGTAGGCATTTTCTATCTCACTCATGCCCAGCTCCTTCAAAGGTTCTGAGAGGTGGACCCAGCATACATCTGTATAATCTAACAGCCAGTATACTGTTTGGAAGACTCAAGGACCAATAAATGCTTTGAAAATGAGATCATTGTCAACTCTTATCTGTTAAATTTACTATTATTATTATTAGTTCTTTTGTAATTTTATACAAAGTATTTCCATATCTATTCCTCCTCTTCAATTCCTTTGAGACTAACCCCACCAACTTCATTATTTCCTCCTCTTCTATGACCCAGAGTCCAACTAGTACTGCTTATATGTACGTAGGTACGGAAATAGGGCCATCCACTGAAGCATGGGCAATGCATTATGGGCCACCCCTCTAACATCAGTGTGTAGTGAGGTTTCTCGAATTTTAAGTTTGCTCTTTCGGGGATAGAAGAAAATAGTACATCTGTCCTATGCCTTGGTGGAATAACTCTCCCTTGGTGGTAAAATTATAGGCAACATGTATCCTTCTTACTCATTTGTAACATGAAATAAAATGTAAGTTTTGGGTGTTTTATTTTTCTTTTCCTAAATCAAAAAAATAATTTATATAGTTGTACATATTTTGAGATACAGCGTTTCTTGGTACATGAATACACTATGCAATACCCAACTCAGGATATTCTTAGGTTAATTATCTTAAACATTTATCATTTCTTTATAGTAGGAACACAGAATCCTCACTTTAGCTATTTTGATTTATATGACATAAGGTTAACTGGAACTTATTGCTACTTTCTTTTTTACGCACAATTTTAAATTGGGATGCTATAAAAATAGTCTTTAAAATGTATTTTAAATGAGAAAGACTGCACCTGGAATTTTAGTTTCGTTACCTGTATAAACAAGAGTTGTTCTTCAACTCTGGATGGGTAAGTGCTAATAAACTTGCTATCAGCTGAACAGAAATCAAAAACTGTATTTGGGCTGGGGAGACGGTTCAGCTGGTAAAGTGTACTTGTCATGCAAGCATGGAGACCCGAGTTCTGATCCCCAATGCCCAGGTAAAAAGCTGGGCACAGAGGCACCTGCCTGGAATCTTAGCACTGGTGAGGAAGAGACAGGAGAGGCCCTGGGGCTTGCTGGCCAGTTAGCTGACATAGCCAAATTGGTGAGCTATGAGTTCAGTGAGAGAATCTGTCTCAAAAAAAGGTGAGACTGACTGGGGAAGACATCCTATGTTTACTTCAGGCTAAATGTACCACCTCTCATTCCTGAAAACATAAACACACACCACACACAAATTTAAAAAAACGTATTTAATATACACACCTACATTCGGCAGCACAGTATTCTGTAGAGTGTTGGTTATTTTCCCTCATGAATGAATCGCTGAAAGGGAACCGTGACTCACTGCTATGCCTGGCATTACAACAAAATGTCATTGCTAGCTCAGGAAAAGGTCAAAATCGAAATCCAGAATATAACACATTAAATGAGGACTGTTCTAATAGGATCGTAAAATTGAAAAGGCAAGCTTACTAACTGTAAATAGGGGGCAGTGCAGAGGTTAAGTTTCTCAGTTCCCCTCAGAATTCATCTTTGTCACCAGCACAAGAGGATAAAACCTGCACTATTGGACTGTCTGTGCGAGGATTAAATGAAGGATTACATAATCAATTATTTACTCGACTTTTTCACAGGTCTGAAAACTAGAAGACGAGAGAGTTGAAAATAGGCTATTGGACTATATGAACTAGAACCAGTTAGGCATGAACCTCATTCTCCAGATAACAATAATTCCTGAAAATGTCCTTTTATAAGGAGCTCACCACCTAGCAATGTCCTAAAGGCTTATGTCACCCAGCTTTTGGTGCTTCTGTTTTGTCGTTGCTGCTTTGGGTTCTTGGAGTCAGGATGCTAGCTACGCAGTTGTCATGACTGATCTGGAACTTGCTATGCAGACCAGAGTGGCCCAGAAATTTGCCTAATCATAATTAAGAACTGTAGAAGGGATTCTTTGTCAAAGTGTGCAAATTCTAACAAATGAGAAACAAAGTGTCTTTGTCTCCCTTATCAAGGCAACCTTGAGAGAAAGCTGTGAGGTGAGGCAAGAAGCCTTCCCTACAGATATTTTCACTTGTGTTCCAGTAAACAACTCCCAGCTCCCCCTTGCCTGTGTACTTCCAGATACTGCTCTCCTTTGCGTCTTCTAAAGTTTGCCAGTCTCCTGTGTGACTCAGCATGTTTCTGCGCCTTCATAGGTCCCTAACATGTCCTTCCCTACCAAGAAGCTATTGGCCAACAATCCTTAAACTGCGGTCTAGGTGCACAATGAGTTATTACTGGACCATACAGAAGAAGGAAACCCTGTTACCTGTAGCAACATGGGTGGAATCAGATGATATATTTTAGGTTAAATCCTCCAGACACAGAAAGACAAATGCTGCACGTTCACTCTCATCCATGAAAGCCCAAACAAGCCAATATAAATAGAGAACGGTGATTACCTCCGGCTGTAGTTGAAGATAGATGGAGTGTGGATAGGTGACAGGTCAGGGCTCAGTTGGGACAGTCATTCCATCATGCTCTGGAATGACTGTAGTCAACAACAACTGATTACAGAGTTTATGAGTAACTGGAAAGGCTCCAAGAATAAGGAAATGGTGGAGAGGTGAATGCTAGTTGTTCTGATCCCCGTATCCTGTATGCATGTGCTGAATTAATACACGAATACATACAATTACTAAGCTAATAAAAAGTTTTACAATTTTTCTCTACTGCTTCCTTCGGCACGGCACCCACCTTCTTTTGTTCCCAAGTTTTGCTCAACTGTTCACTCTAGTAATACTGCTTATGTTTAGACAAGTAACTTTCAGCAGTAGCTGTCCTTAAGTGATTAACTGCCAAAGTTTCATTGTATAAGTCCTATCCTTTATCAATTTAAAGGGTGTGGTGGCGCACGCCTGTAGACTGAGGCAAGAGGACCACTAACTGGTTTGAAGCCAGTTTGGTAACATAGTAAGACCTTGTTTCAAAATAAATAACACTTATGAGGTTAACACTACACTAACACAAACCCACAATTTAGATAATTGAAGATGAGGGAAAGTAATACTACCAGCCTTGTGATATCAACTAAATATGGTAAGGGATGGGGCGGGTGGAACATGGAGACAAGATGGGTTCTCTTTAACTCCCTCTAATTAAGAGACCTGTTTTTCTCCTACAAGGAACATCAAACAAGAAAAAAAATACTCCTCTCCCATTATCAACACCAGAGCAGCACATCTCTGAGAGTATCCCACATACAATGCTGTGAACTTTGCCTCAATTATTTCCAGTTAATTCAAACAAACCTAAGAAGTAAATGCTTTATCATTGCTATTTTACAAAACGGAAAGTTGGTGTTAGAGAATGTTGAATTATACAAAGTTACCACAGTCAGGATTAGCAGAGAGAAGATCTAAACCAGATATCCCCAATCCACCCCACCAAAACATCTACTTTCTTCAATTAGAAAACTGGTATTGATTCAGAATGTCCTAAATTTACTTCTAATACCTGCAGGAGTTTTATCATCTCTGGGGATGTACCATGACAGGGATTTCTCAAGAGATCAAGACCACATAATCTCCAGGACTGGGTCTCAAAGGACATTCTTTTTAAACATTTCTGGTAGAGAAATCCTAATACCAGAAACCATTCCTTTAATAGATATGTTGGCTGTTGAAGGGCAACGTCTCACAGATAAAAATACATAAATTACATACCCTTATTAATTGTCCATAACTAACTTCTCATCTCAGGTGAAATCTGCCATGTGATCAAAAGGAATTAATTTGCTCTATTCAAAGTGTCTTTCACAACTTTGGGCAGAACTTGTGTGTCTTCATTTTCTTCTGAGATATATGTCACAGTTAAGTAAATTATTCAGTTCTAGACTTAAGAAAATAGTGTCAATAGTTCTGTTGTCCTACTTAATGAACACATATTTATATAACACTACTTAATCTCTGTAGAGGTGACAAAAAAGAATAAAATGAACCTTCAGCTTTGAGAGCTCTGAACCAAATAAGAAGCATGTGTATACACATATTTAAAGATGGAAACTGAAAACATAGTGGGCCCAGAAAGGTAAAGAAGACACTAAAAGAAAACACACACACACACACACACACACACACACACACACACACACACACACACACACACACACAGATTATTGTAAGCAGAGACCATGCATTTGAGAATTGGACCATGCGTGAGTTGGTGAATATGCTAGATTCAGGATTGGTAAATGAATGAAGCCTGGGTGTACTAAAGGGGCAAAGGAATCTACCAGGTTCCCTCAGAGTACCAAGCAGAGTGTGTGGAATGATTTTAAAAGTCAAAGAAAAGCAGTACACATCAAAACCATGTGCTGCCAAGAAGAGATAAAATCACTGTTGGGTACGGTGGGAAATGCTTGTAATCTCAGCCACCTAGTAGGCTGAGACATGAGGATAACAAGTGTAGGAATACTCTGGGCAACTTAATAAGAACATCCCTACAAAATGGTCAATGGGCCTAGAGAGATGGCTCAGTGGTTAGAGAACCTGCTGCTCGTCCAGAGGACTGGAGCTCGTTTCCCAGCACCTCTGTTAGTTGGCTCGCATCCTCCTGTAACTCCAGCTACAGGGGATCCAGCATCCTTCCTCTGGCCTCCACAGGCTCCTACACACATCACAAACACTCACACAGACATGCATGCAAATACAAAATTGAAAAAAAAAGCCTGGAAATACTGCTCAGTATTGTGCTTGCACAGGACGCAGAAGGAGCCCTGGATTCAGCCCCTCGCACCAGAAAATAAATAAACAGCTTTATTAATGTTTGGTTTTTCACGACTGGGATATAGTCCAACTATAACCTGCATCAGCTTTTAAAGTGGTAACTTTATAAAAATTAATACTCTTTCTAAAATTCTATAAAAAAAATCTTTAAAATGCAAATGGAGAGAGGAAATTCTGCCCTTGGGTCTTAGGTAATCTTAGCACTATTTACGATGATCCAGGTTGGCACGTCTGAAGTCTTCACGGGGAAAATACACACTTCAGTACAAATGCCACTGACTACAACCTGGGGTTTACTTTGACTAAAAATCATAAATGCCCATTGCTGAGAGCAAGCACTCATTCCTGAAGGACAGCAGTGGTTCTAGTGCAGCTGCCAGGTTTCTGTTGTGAATGTAGGAGTCTCCTGGGGAAAGAAGGGCAGCATGGGCATAACCAACAGAATCCGCCATCATTCCCATACCCCCCGCGCACCAGGCCACGAGATTCCTGTTCAAATCCCCTTGCCTCCGCTAATTTGCACCGAGAAGCATCCTTGTGTTGTTACACAATAGACAAGTATTTACTGGGCCCAGCCCCATATACCCTCCTAAGCACACGTAAGGCCTTCTGCTAAGGCAGAGCATGTGACTGACAGCACACGGCAGCTCTCAGTCCGGGGCCCGTGACAAAAGAGATCAGCTTTCAAAGATCAAAACCAAGAGCGTGCTTCTCCTCACATGCTTCTGTCAGTGCACACTGTACATACAGATCAGCTCACACGCAGAGTCACGTCTGCCGCGGGGTCTACACCTCAGGTTCAGTGGTTGCTCTGGGTCTCCAGCATCACACTTTCTTCTAACTATGTGGTAATGTTCTTCTTGGAAAATCACTCTGATCAGAAGCCTTTGTCTTTTCCTTTTTCTGGTACCAAATGCATACGGATAATGAGTAACTGTGAAGTGACCCATACGACCAGGAAACACAGTTAACACTGGGGTAGAAGTCTGCTGCACTTGCTAACTATCAAAGAATCTGGGAATCAACACGGACTCTCAATTCTTTCCCAGCTGACCTTGAATAAAGGCACACTGCAGCAACACACCGGAGTAATTCTAGCCTGCCAGTCTGAAGTGACTCTTGAAGTGCCACCTCTTGCTCTGACCTGTCATGCGGAGTATTGGGTTAGCTGCTCCTCAAAAGAGATGATGACTGGCAATACCAGGAAGGTTTAAATGGGGGTAATATTTTACAGCAACTCAGGCAGGGAAGCAGGGTGGTAAGGAAGGAAAGAGGTGTAGGGAAAAGGGGACAATTACCCAGTGTCCACTTGGCTGACAGGAGCTCAAAGACACCAGCCCCCAGCTTTCACCCTCTTTTGTACTCGAGGAAAAGAGTATGGGGTAGAACAGTTCCATTTCTTTCTCAGTCTATACATTCTTCTGCCAAAACCAAGGGCTGGGATAATGTGTCTTAGTAGGAAGAGTTAGGCACATTTGTAAAGTCCACTACCCACTTCTGAGGTGCTATGTTTACAAGTCCTTGAGTAAACGAATGTGCAGGAGTTCTTGATCATGGACCATGGGTACTCAAGGCCACAAAACCTTCACATGCAGGTAACAAAAGCTGTACGTGAAGCAACAATTTCACAAGACAAGAAAAACTCAGTGCCAATTATGTGATACCATCTGTTTTCATCCCAGAGATGGACTTCAGAGCAGGCAGGATATCTTTGAACACAATCTCGCCTAATAAAACAAGCCCAATTCCGATGGCGTACTACTGTCGTCCTGTCCTTATGGGATAAAGTATATCTATCTGTTAAAGGTAAACAAAGTCAAGGAAAGGAAAACGGAAACCTTTTCACAAAAGCAGCGCCACCTTATACACACGCACACACTTGTGTATATATATATATATGTGTGTGTGTGTGTGTACATATATATGTGTATATATATACACACTGTGTGTATGTGTACAATAGATACACACTTGTGTGTATGTAAACATACATTTGTATACACACATATACATGGGTTATGTATGTATATAATCTATCCAAAGTAGAGCTTACTGTTTTTTGTTTTTAATGCATTCACTGCCCCCTGTCCCCGGCAGCTCCTGCAGGACGTGTCCGGGCAGAGCCGGGTTATGCCACCATCCAGCCCTATTCACATAGGGCCTGGCACAAACGTGCACGCGCGGGCTGCGGCCCCTTTTGCTCAGTCCCGCACGGAACGTCAGCGCTAGAAACTCAAGAGTAAGGCAACGCAGAGCACGAAGTGCTTTTCCAAGCGAGCAGAAAAGAGATCAGCTATCTGCGCAGCCTGCTCGGGGGCTCCGCCGCAGGCCCTCCGCAAACACGCTTCCCGCTCGGCCTCCCAGCTCGCCCGCCCGCCCGCCCTCCCGCCGCGCCTACCTCTCTCTGGGTCAGGTTCTTGTCCGGCCCCAGCAGGTAGGGCGTGAGGAAGGGCTCGGACGGCCGAAGGTTGGCGAAGAAGCCATAGGCGCAGAGCAGCGCGGTGGGCAGGAACCAGCACTCGCGAGGGACGCGGGCCGTCCGCAGAAGCATAGTGGCCGCCGCCGCCGCCGCGCGTCGGGACACCCGGGCCGGCACATCCATCCTGGGCTCCAGGGGCTGGTGGACGCCGAGCCGATCCCCTCCTTCCTCTCGGCCAACTGGAGCTCGCTCCAGCCGCGGCCCCGCGCGGGGACCTGGAACCGCGCGCGACACCGCCCCGCGCCAGGGTCAGGCTGCTGCGAGCCCCGGCCGCCTGCAGCCGCCTCCCTCCCGCCGCTCGCCCTTTCCCAGGTCTGCTCCGCGCCAGGCCCCACCGGCCGCCTAGCCCGCCGCAGGGCGCGCACGAGCCACGCCCTCTGGAACCGCCCCCCTCGCCACAGCCAATCACGGCCCACGTCTCTGCTTCCCCCGGTGGTCAGTGGCTCCCCGGGCGGTGTGCCAGCCCTCTGACGTGAGGGTCTCTCCGACGCCCGACAGGTCGGGATCGCGTCTGGATACGGTGGCGGGATCCCACGTGCCAGCTCCCCATACACCCCCGAGTCGGCTCCGTCACCTGGCGTTTGCCGATCACGCGTCCGGAACGCTCCTTTGAGCGGGATCCCCGGATGTGCGCTTCCGCAGCCCGGTGAGCCTTCTTAATCATCCGCCAGCACTCTGATGTCTAGTCGGTCCTCCTCCCGGGAGACCTAGTGACACAGGCCTGCATATCTTTAACCTTGAGGCGGGAAAATGCAATCCCTTGCCTCCAACAGCTTTTTCTTTTTTTCTTTTTCTTTTTTGTTCTTTTTAAACATTGTATTCCTCTGCCTTAGAAAGACTCAAGCTGGAGAGTTAAGCTTATAATTATTTTATTTTTTATTGTTGCAGACCGAAAGAAAACGAGAGCGAGCGAGCTAGCCAGCAAGAGGTTTTTGCTTTATTTCATCACTGTTTTTGTTCCCAGGATATAAAGAACAATTAACTACAGTGTATCCTATGTAAAGGAAATCCCCCTAAAGACCAAGGCTCCACAAATTCCAGGGAGCGCACAGCTCACGAAATTCCCCGAGGTTGCAAAAGTAAAAGCAGCTTGCCCCCAACCCCACACTGGGAGGTTTCATAACCAATCTCCTACCTCACCATTTAAAGAAAAATATCTTACCCAGACAGGCGGCTCAATTCCCCATGCACTCCCCTTCCCTACCCTTGGCTACAAAACCCTTGGCTCAGACCATGGACTGCAGACCCTTCTGAACCCCTGGTCACAGTGATCTTGAGATTCCCCTCTCAGACTGGTAAAATCTGCTGTTGGTGAGGGCGATCTCGACCTGACTTTTCGTCCTGTAATTCCTTCTACAAACTCAATTGTTTAGTGTCTAGAATCACTAAAACAACCATTAACATTTCTTCACTAAAACAAAACACAGAGATAATAAGCACTGTCTGTTTTCAAGGGCGAAACATGATGGGAATCCCCAGTGCTTGCTTTCATCGCCTCTGCGTGACTTTTGTTAGACTCACAGGCTCACTCTGTCCTAATGTCACAGCAGATCAAGCTGCATGAGTGAATATACCAAAATGAGTGAGTGGCTCAATTTGCAAAAATGCGAGGTGTTGACATTTTTCACAGTCTTTTCAAGGGATGATAGGAAGACTTCATTCCCTTGTTCACCCCAGAGGCTGGATAGTGTGTGATGATGTCATCATCATCATCATCAGTTTGTAGGCTAAAAGAATGTGTGTTTGTGTGTTATGTTTAAAAATTCTACTATCTGATAATATCAGTAGTTCTAACCCACCCAAATCAAAAGCTCTCGATAACAAGGGCTGAGACCAAAAACTCTTGAGAATTTCTGGTCTATTAAATATATAGTCACCTAAATTCCAAACACAAGCCATCATAGGCCTCCTTTCCTTGAGTTTTGGAAACCTAGTGAACCTGTATATCACTTTCCTTGCTATAGGTGGAATACTGAAGTACTTTCAGCCTTCTTTGCAATGAGTGCAGATGTGGATATAAACAGTGTTTCTTGAACTGGGCAGAAAATTACTTCTTATTTTTCTGAAAAAGGCAGAATTCTAACAATGATCCAAAATGAGCTTTGTCATTATATAACTTCTATCCATTTTAGTGTAGCATGAAAGCTGTGAATTTGATAATATTCATGTGATTGCATAACATTTTATGACAAAAATAGCTAGCCTAATCACAGGTGTAGTCAGTCTTTCTTTGGACCGCCAAATAATGACACGGAGACTTTTTATTAATTATGAAAGCTTGACCTTAGCTTAGACTTGCTCCCAACTAGTTCTTATAACTTAACCCGTTTATATTAATCTACATTCTGCCGTGTGGCTCGTTACCTCTCCTCCATACACTACATCCCACTCCCTCTTTGTCTCACTTTCTTAATCACAGGAGTCTTAAAGTCATATATATGTTCTCATATATGCGTATATATTTTTCATATATATGTATGTATATGTTCCTCTCTCTCCCCGGAAGTCCTGCCTATTCTCTCCTACCTAGCTATTGGCCATTTAGTTGTTTATTAAACAAAACAGAAGGCACCGTAGGCCGAGACACATCTTCACAGTGTACAAAAAGATGATCCCAGCACACACAGGTGCCCTTTGTAAGCAGACAATTTTCTTTCTATGGTAGCAGAAAAGGAAGTCAGAGTCATTTGATGAGTTTGAAGGGTTTGACTTTCTGCTGCTTATGAACCAAGACATGTGGGTAGCCTGTGACTACAGAGTCTGGCTCCTGGCTGACAGCAAGGAAGCAAGGACCTCATCCTACAATCACATGGACCTGAATCTAAAAACCTCAAAGGGTCAAGAACAGCAGCGCACATCTGTAATCCCCGCACTTGAAGTGGGAGGATTTTAAGTTGAAGGATAACATAAACAATCTAAGGAGTTCCAGGACAGATAGCACACATAGTGAGACCCTGTCTCAGAAAATTGCCACCACCACCATGCAGCCCCTCAAAGAGCTTGGAGTAGGTTCTTCCTCAGAGCCTCCAGAGAAGAGTCTGGTCAACATCTTGATTTTGATCTGTGAAACATCAAACAGAGTTCCTCCCTAAGCCCATATGGTTATACACAACTGCTGTGAGCTTAGCTGTTGTAATTGTTTTCAGTTGCTAAATTTGTGTGAATTTTCAACAATAGGAAACTAATGCAGAAGTAAGTTTATACATATATATGTTCTCATATATGTGTATATATTTTTCATTCAAGTATTAACTACTTCCAACCCCATTTGGCTTCTCAGATGGGATGAAAGTGGGCATGCTCAGGACAGTATGGTCATAGAATATGTATTTTTAACTTGAGGCAATAGTCACATAATGCAAAATAAGCAATATGGAAACAGACAGCTCAATGGTCTTAGTACCTTCCTAATACTGTGGAGCCCTCACTCTGTAGGAATAAGAGATGTTCTCAACTCCATAAAGCAAACCCACATTTAAGAAGCCATTGGTCCCCTCTCATCCCTTACCCACAGTGCCTGGAAATACTAATGTGCCTTTGCCTCTAAGAATGTATCTACTCTGAAAGCTTCATACATGTGAACTTTCACTTCTGGCTTCTTTCACTTAGCATAAGGACTTTATGTTTTGTTTACACTGTTACATAAATTGGGACTTCTTTCTGTTTTATAGTTGAGCCATGAACCACATTTGGTTTATATATTCATCAGTTGATGGGTGTTTGGTTTGTTTTCACGTTTTTTTTTTTTTGGCTGTTTTGAGTTATAAACATTTGTGTGTAAGTGTTTGGATGTGTGTTTCCAAGGAGAGGGATTGATGCATCACTTGGGAATTCTGTTTTGACTGAAGAAGGACCAAACTGTTTTCCATAGAAACTGTACCATTTTACTTTATACAAACAACATACAAAGCATCCCATTTTTCTGCAACCTTTTCAATGCGTATTTTCCTTTCTAAGGGGTAGCCTACCTAGCTACCTGTGATATGGTAGTTCATAGTTTTGCTTTTTAACCTCCCTAGAGACTGGTAATGTTGAGCATATTTGAAATGTCCATTCAATGTCTTTGTTCCTCAAATTGTTTTCTTTGTTATTGAATCACAAGAATTCTTTATATATTCTGCATACTATGTTCTCCCAAGAAGTACAAGTAAGTAGGATATTGAGAAAAGTTTTTCTCACTCATATGTAGGGGTATACATTTTGAAAGAAGTAGGATTATGTTAGACAGTTTTCAGGTTCTTGTGTATCTTGCTGAGGAGTACTACGTGGAGAACAGCCCACATAATAAATTATACTTCTAGTTCCTTCTACTTGGCGGTCTGTTGTGTGGGTGTACTATAATTTACTTAACCGTTCCCTGCTTGTGCTCATTTATACTGTGTCTGATTTTTTGGTCATTGTTAACAGTGCTATAATGAAATCACTGCCTAATAAATGTTTATATATGCTTAATTTCATTTACTCCCTGAATGGAATTGCCTGGTTGAAGAATACATATCTAAAAATTTTAATAGCTATTTCTCAGCTGTTCTCCAGTCAAGCTAAAACTGGGCTAGCTTACGTTTTCACTAGCAAATATAAGAGTTGGTTTTTGCTACATCCTGATTACAGGGGTAGCCATGAGGGTTGTTTTGTTGGTGTTTTCTCTTTTTCTTTTTCTTTTTCTTTTTTTTTTTGCAATAGCTTTATGCATTCTTTGAGAATTTCACACAATGCATTTCGAACATTTTCAACACCCTGTACTTTAGCTCCTCCCGATCTTCTCTCTGCACCCCCATCCATTCCTATTCAACTAGGAGAATTATTCCTATCTTTTTTTTTTTCTGATACAGGATTTCTCTGTGTAACTTTGAAACCTGTCCTGGAACTTGCTCTGTAGACCAAGCTGGTCTCAAACTCACAGAGATCCGCCTGCCTCTGCCTCTCGAGTGCTGGGATCAAAGGCGTGTGCCACCGCCACTGGGCTATGAGATTATTTCTAAAGGCAGATTTTTTTTCCCCTGTTGGTAGCAGAAAAGGCAGTCAGAAATAGTTGAAGGACAAGAGGATTTGGTTTGTTGCTTTTACACTTTTAGTTTCTCTAATAGGTAGAAAACAGCGGTTCTTAAACTGTAATGACTTTGCCCCACAGGAGATGTTCGTCATTGCCTGGAGATTTTTTTCTTACTATAATTTAATATACTTACTTATAATACAACTTACTTAATATAATGGGTGCTACTAACTCCCACTGAGCAAAACCGGAGAGTCTGCTAAATATTGGACAATCTTCAAGGCACTCCTTACAGCAGTTATCTAGCACAGGTTACCTACTGAA